CCTTCCTTGCTTGCTTGCTCGTGCTTTTGCTTGTGCTTGATTGCTGGTGCTCGTGCTAGCTTGTGCTTGCGCTTGCTTGTGCTTGTGCGTGTGCTTCCTCTTGTGCTTGTTTGCGCGTGCTCGCTCGCTTGTGTGCTTGATCCTTGTGAATCCGTTTGTAGTGTCGCTTACTTAGTTGCTTTGTCTGCTTTGTCTGCTTTGTCTGCGTTGTCTGTTTGCTTGGTTGCTTGGTTGCTTGGTTGCTTGCTTGCTTGCTTGCTTGCTTGCTTGCTTGCTTGCTTGCTTGCTTGCTTGCTTGCTTGCTTGCGTGTGCGCTTGTTTGTCTGCCTGTCTGATGTCTGTCTGTGTGTTTGTATATATATATATAGGTATGTGGCGTGTTGGCTGCTTGCTGGGTTGTTTGGTTGATTGATTGAATGAATGAATGAATGAATGAATGAATGAATGAATGAATGAATGAACAAACTGAATGAATGAATGAATGAATGAATGAATGAATGAATGAATGAATGAATGAAATGAATGAATGAATGAATGAATGAATGAATGAATGAATGAATGAATGAATGAATGAATGAATGAATGAATGAATGAATGAATGAAATAATTAATGAATAAATGAATGTTATTGCTTGTTTGCGTTTGTGTTTGTTCGCTTGTGTGTGTGCGTGCTTTTTGTTTTGTCTGTTTGCTTGTTTGTTTTTTGGTTTGTTTGATGGTTTGTCCGCCCGTCGGTCTGTCTGTCTGTCTGTCTGTTTGTTTGTCTGTTTGTCTGTCTGCTTGCTTGCTTTTGCTTGTGTGTTTGTTTGTTTGTCTGTTTGAGTGCTTGCTTGTAGTGTTTGTATTGTTTGTTTGCTTGCTTGCTTTCTTGCTTGCTTCTTTCTTTCTTTCTTTCTTTCTTTCTTGCTTGCTTTCTTGTCTGCTTGCACACGCACACACACACACACACAAGCATCCTAGGCTTTAGCCTTGCCAAAAAACAATCAACAACTGGGGATTCAATTCGGTTCCCTTACAAATACACGCCACCAAGTTCAAAATCATCACGTCAGGTTGATCGCCTATGGCAAGGTGACTTGGCATTGCATCTTTTTCGCCCGTTTGGCGGCGCATCGTCGGCCGTGCGTGCGAAATGCGTAAACTAGAGACTTCTTAGTATTGAATTCGGAGAGTCCCCTATGTTCCTCCCAAACTTCCATTTGCTTCAGCCATCTGGAAGAAATATGTCCAGTAGTGCTAGATTCCGCTTAAAACCACCAAAATTAGGGGCGTCAAAACAAATTAGGGGCGTGTTCCCTCCAAGAGTGATGAATCCCCACTACAAAGGGGACAGCTGCCCCAGTACTCAACCAGGGGTTGATGATTCTGGGGTCAACAGTCCCTGGAAACAGGGCTTCAGGAGAAACCTGGACCGGCCCCCCTACATGCCCTCGCTTGAGCCAGCCACTTGCAGAGTGGAAGCAGATCCTCCTGGGGAAGCCCCGCCTGAAACCCGTGCAAGGCACCGGTCACACACGGAAGATGCACTAATCTTGGCGAGTTGCAAGTGACCCTGCCATAAGAAATGGATCCCCCAAACACAAAGGAGCCTGACCAGGGGCTTTTATTTTGAGGTCGCTGGAAATTGTCAGCCATCTTGATTGATCTATTCATCGGTTGTTCATGTGTTTATATGTTGTGACTTAGCTGTGTACATACACTTCTATATCATTCAAGATTCTAAACGTAACTATAGGTGTATAATATGTCATATATGTATATATATATATATATGGTAACCCCTTTCGTGGACCCTGGTTTGGTGCGTTTGACCGGTATTTTCCAGTGTTTTCATGTTCATGTTCATGCCATACACAGAAGATCGCCCCTATGGCTCGCTCAACGCTCCGCTTCGCCCAGGGCGAAGCTTGCAACGCGCCTTCGGAGATCGACATGCCTCACAGCCGGCATTCAGCGGGGACTCCAGGCTTGGGCAAGTGTCCCTCAGTAGTTCACTGACCCTGGAAAAACTTGGGGGAAGACCGAATTTTTAGTGGGGCAGCCACCCAAAAAAAGGGAAAAAGGATAGGTGCTGGAAAAAAAGGGAACGCTTTTTTGGGGAAGACCGGATTTTTAGTGGGGCAGCCACCAAAAAAAAAGGGGAAAAATAATAGGTGCCACTGAAGAACTGAGGTCCCTCACAGTTGAGCCCAAGGGCATTGTGCCGATTTGGGGAGGGGGGGAAACATGTCTAGGGAAAAACATTTCGCATTGAGCCCATGATTCTAGGTTTCACATCGCCGATTTGCCACATGGCTTGGGCAAATTCCCTTCCCAGTGGGACATGCGAGTAGATGTGTGGCACACATTTTGAAATCCACGCATCCAAGGAACCCCACATGCAAGTTACCTGCTTGGGGTGCACTGGTCGACAATGGTATCCGAGATGGTATCAGAACAATGGGGAGCACCAGGAAATGCCAAAGAAGCATATCCAGCGGAAAAACAAGCGCGTTAAAGAACCAGGCAGTGCCTGGTGACAAGCCCAAGCAGCTGCTGTTTGTCTTCTTGGATATTATGCTGGATTGAGCGGGTTTGGCAAACATCTGTACTGGTCCCAGAATGGTGGTCCAAAAACCCTTCTTTCAAGCCGAAAAATCTGGCTTGAACTGTGGTAGGGTCCAGGGGGCACCAAGCCAAGAAGCTAATTGCTATCTGAGCATGTGGCTGCGGGTGAAAAATGGGGTAACCCCAAAATGGGTTGCCCTGGTCAAAGGCATCTCCTGGTTTCATTTTGACCCGTCATGTCGTGAATCGCCAAAAGAAGTCCTTAGCGACCATCCGCCCAGCGCTCACAGCAAACATATGTTGCATCCCACACCTGGGCCTGACCAAAGAGCCGATGGACTGGGTGAAACCCCACTCTTTAAAAAATATAATAAAAAACATATGGTCATTCCCAAAAGACAGGGGTCGTGGGTTTTTCAGGTTTCAGTGTGGAATTATAACGTTCGGAGGGCAACACCCGGTCTCTTAATAAACCTCAGCTGTTCAGTGACCCTGGAAGAAAAAATGGGAACCCTTCTTGGGGCTTGGACCGAATTTTTAGTGGGGCAGCCCTCAGAACCAAAGGGGAAAAATGATAGGTGCCACTGAACAACTGAGCCCAAAGATCTGCAACTCTCTTCTCGAGCCCCCGGCAACCATCCGGGCACGCTTGGCCGGGAGGGCTTCATCCAGTGAATGCGATGGAACCCCACTGGAAATCATGCAACTCACCCAAAAAGGCTGTAGAGTTGAGGGGCGTCTTCGGATGCGCATCTAAACATCAATTTGGAGATGATGCGGTTGATCGACCCGGAACGGGTGTGTCTCAAAACGTCGGCCTATGGATCTTCTGCTTCTGTGCGCCCTCGTGGGCTTCTTAAAGCTGATCAGCTTGGCCCCGTGCCGGCTCCACAAGATTGGGCTCACACTGTGACTAGACACATGCGTGGTTCATCTTAAATGGAACTTTCAGGGAAGAGTCTTAACCTTGAGCCCTTGAATACAAACGAGTACAAAAGGTAACTATGTTGCGTCTATCTTATTATGTAGACATGATCACAAGACTACGAGTGCCATGAGAATTGCCCATTCGATTCCTTGACTCCTTGACTTTGTTTCCTTGCACTTGTCAACTCGTGCAGCACCTTGAGCCCATGGCGGAGATTCGAAGTCAACCTGAAGCTACGGCAGCTATTTGCTACCTGATTGAATGGCCGGGTGTGTTCGAGCCCACCCGTTCAGACTCATGGACCTAGTTTTCGAACGCAGCATGTATGCTTCTGTGACTTCAAACTGATATGATGGCCCTACCTCGTTTTGCGGGGGGGTTCCCACCTCCATAGGTGACCTTTTTGGACAAATCGATGGCCCTAGTAAAACCAATCTGAACAAGTGCCGGCTATTTCTGACCTAACTAACCTCAAAGGGACACCTATGCTCACTTCATTTTGCACCTGATTCGGCCTGAGGCAGGCGCTCTGATGAAACGCAAGAGACATGCTGAATGGGTCTGGGGAAATTCATCATCCATCCTTTTCTGGCTTCCTTTTGGGGAAGCAACGCGGTAGTTGTTGTTTTGTTTTGTTTTCATTTTTTCTTGGGGGGGGAGGGGCTGGGATTCAGCACCGATGTCTTGCAGCTTGGCATGTTGGATGGGGGAGCTCGCCCCTAGCGATTTTCGGCTGGCGCAAACAAAATGCTACTCCAAGGCTCTCCAAGGCCCCCCCGAAAAAAACGACGAACCCCCCCCCCCGTCTGAGCTGAGGCCAACGAAAAAACCGAAGAACTGAAGAGATACCCTCCCAAGGAATTCCTGGAACCTTTCGACCTTCGGGGCTGTTTCGGTCCCTTTACAACAAATGGTCCCAACACCAGGATCTCCCGAACATCAGGTTCCAGATTTGGTGGGAGGGTAACGTGTCTTGAAATGGACGCCGGAAAATGGCAACGGTTTCCTGTTGGTGGACACGTCCAAAAGGGGTACCCTCACCCATTTGTGGAACAGAATGCAGGTCCATGAAAGGAACTAACACTTCAGAGCAAGAAAAAAACATTTTGTGCGGACCTAGCGACTGACCCCATCCAACGAGAGCCCAAAAAAATCACAGACTTCGGCTCCGAGTAGAACTCGGTAGAACCCTCCAAAATGGTAGATGGGGTTCAACCACTGCTCGGGCAAGTCAATCAATCAAAACCTGGGATTTGTCCGAGAGCCACCCAAACCCTCCATGGTAAAGAATCAAAAGGGCGGAAATTCCGCTCTTGTGTATGGCGGAGTCTCTGGCCTAAGTTTTGACGTGGGCCGTCCCTGGAGTGACATCCTGAAAATAACCCTGTAAATTATGGTTGTGACATCCTGAAAATGATGGTTCATCACAAGAAACGGCTGCTGTGGATGGACGAACTCCTGCGCTTGGTGTGGATGAAACCCTGAATAAAACAAATCACCTACCAACGCGAAGCGGATTGGTCCATCAACACTGGGACTCTCCAGCCTCGTGATTCTTGGAGCTCTTACAGGTGTCCAATGCAGCCTGAGCGTCGGGGGAGAACCATGTCAACCGGAAGCTCTGAAACAGACGTCCGGAAGTAGGGGTCCTCAAAACGAAACATGGAGGGACTCGCCATGTTTTTTGAAACACCTATTGGTGTGTGTATTTTTGGAAGCACCTATTGGTGTGTGTGTGTGTGTGTGTGAAAAGAACCCCTGAAGCTGTGTCGGTTTCCTGAACCCTTTCAGCATCGATGCCATCCCCTGAAAGGGGTCTCCGTTTGGCACGGATGCGGCCTCCGAACTCCGATGGGTTTTTCTCGCAGTGCCCAAAGAAGGAGCCCGACCAAAGGCAAAGTCAGACCGACCACACAGCCCTGAAACCTTATCCAAAGGGTTCCTCATACAATCCTCTTATGTCACTCAAAGAAACTGGTCATGGCTCAAAAGGTGACCTTCAAATCACACACCAACAAACAAGCAAGAAAACCGAGGGCCCCCGGTCCGCCCGGAGCGCCGGCAAATGAATTCATTTGCCGCAGTTCCAGTTCATTCGATAGCCCGAGGGCTTGTTCCTGTTTCAGGTATTTGGGGAAGTCTGGGCTGGGGAAAAGCGGGTGATAGAGGAGGCCAATTGAAACGAAAACAGGTTCCACTCGCTTGCGAGGAGCCGGCTGGCATTATGGCATTCTTAGACTTGCAAAAGCTTTCAGCTTTGCTTGGGGAAAATCCGGCTAAAACCTCAAGGCAAGGAGATGCTTGTATACCATATGTCTGTGGGTCAAAACCAATGGTACCATTTTGGGGTAGGTGCACCACCCATTTCAGTCTATTTTAGTGGGGATTGTGACCCATGGCCATATAAGATTGAAAGGCAGCTTACACGGCTGTGGGTCAAACATATGTACCCCAAATGGCACCCTGGCAAATGGAAACAATGACTAAAACCAGTGGTCCCCTGGTGGTTTAAGTTTGACCGATACCCATATATCCCCTTTTCAGCGTTTGTTCTTCACCTCCGTACCTCCAACCCCCCCTCCTTACTTGCCCCCTTTAGGGACCTGGAATCGAAACGGTGATCGCCTTTTGGGGCCAAAAAGAAGAGGCACTGCCTGAAATCGGAAGACCCGAGCAAAGTCTCTGGATTGCAACTTCCTTGTTCAGTGACCCTGGAAAAAAAGGGAACCCTTTTTGGGGAAGACCATTTTTAGTGGCGCAGCCACAAAAAAAAACGGGGAAAAAGGTGGCCCTGAACAACTGAGTGGTGGTTGTCCTTGGACCGATCGCCACTTTGGGCCATGGCTGGGACCTGCTGCCAGATCCGATCAACACTTGCGGGCACAGGTACGGGAATGACCCTGGGTGTTGGGAATGAGGGAAGTCGGGATTCCCTCAAGGAAACCAAAAGAATTCTTTCGCCCCTTCCGAAACCCCAAATGTCCTTCGCCCATTCCTTCTGCCGATCGAAAGAGGAGAACCAGTCGATTCGCGAAGAATCGAACAACAAAGCAACCGACGCGGGCGCCAGCGACTCGGAATTCGGAAAACTCGCCTCGCAGGTGCCGGCCACCCGCCAGCCGTTGAAGGCCGGCAGCAGGTGATGACCTTGCGACGGAGCCAGCCAGCCGCTTGCGTCCGAAGCGCAGAGTAGGAAAAAACACCGCAGACTGGCCCAAAAACAATCCACCAAACTTTACGTTTTTTTTTTTTTTAGGAAAATGAGTGGTCCAAGCCCAAAAAGTGACTACAACCCAGGATCTGAAAACGTGAGGAATTCGGGCGAGATCTGCTGAGATTCTCAGTGGCCATGGGAAAAAAAGGGCATCCTGTTCTGGTTGGTTGACTTTAAAGGGACACCGTTCCCCAAAAAAAGTAAAAAAGCATCTCCGCTACCATGAGGGGGAGGGGGGTGGGGGGTCCCTAATTCCATTTATCTAGTCTTCCCCATGAAAGGGAAAATGGGACCAGAAATGGAATTCCAGGGGGCACCCCCCTCCCCCAATTCCATTTTTGAGGGGGTGGGGCAACTGGGTGTTCTAAACGTACCTCCCTCTCCAGGCAAACCCCGAGCTTGGGCCGCCCCGCCGCAGCGGTGGGCCGTGTGGTGGTCCACCCGGTCGCATTTGGAGCCGCAGCACGGGCAGATGGCGCTGCAGCCCTTGATCAAGGCCCAGACCTAGCAGCTCATGGCCGGATCCAGTGGATGGGCCCCAAAACAAGGCTTCAGTTGGCTGTTTACCACGAAAATGGTTCAAACCCACTTCAACTTGTTCTTTGCCTCTATCGTCGAAACCCGAAAAGTACAAAAATGGATGGGCCCAAAAGAAGCTTCAACTTGAGTGGATTGGTAAAAAAGGAATGGCAGACTTACATCCTGGGTGGATTGGTCAAAAGACGCACCCAATCTTGTTGTTTACCACTAAAATGGTCCAAACCCCAACAGTGACTCAAGTCCGAAGCGGAACTCAGGAAGTGAGAAAGAAGCCGTCCAGGAGGCGTTTTTGGGACCTCATGAGGGGTGGATTGCCTCAAAAGTGGGCCGCAATTTGAGGTAAGTTGAGCAAGACCTCAAACATCCCGTAGCCCAACCCAAACTGTGTAGCGAGTGCTCGGGGAAAAAAGAAGCGTATCTGCATGGACATGACATGGCGCACTTGTCTCCGGTTCCCAAAGCTGTAAGGCTCCCAAAAGTGTCTCCTTAAGCATCCGCCGAAAAAATGTTCACCCAGTGAAAAAGAAACTGGATCTGAAATGGGAAGATATGAAAGACATCTCAAAAAGGAACAGCAGGAACCGGTTTGTAGGTCAAAGGTGAAAACTACATTCAAGCCCTTCAAACATGTTCAGCCCACTAGTGTTCAAGCAACCTCCCGTCGCTTTCCAAGACCCAGGTTGTTTAACCCACTGACTCCACTCTCAAGCCACCAAAAGATGAATCGGGCATACCAGCAATCTACCTTTAAATAGCGGCCCTGAGAATCTTGGTACCTCATGTGCCATCTTGTGGCAACCAAAACTTGCAACGGAGGTCCCTAAAATTCCCTTCAAAACGGAGGCTCCTGTCTGAAATTGTTGCTTGCTCTCACTTCCTTAGATTGGCCGAGGCCTCCTTTTACCACCAAGACCGATCGATTCGCATCAAAATGGTCTACGCTCCCTATACTTCCCCTCAAATCATCTCTGCCAAGGGAAACTCACCTTCAACGGGCCAGAAAGGTGATGCTTAAGACTACCCGTCTCTTTCTTCGGACAAACGGAAACCTATAACATAGGGACCCCTGAAAATGGTCTGCCCCAAAACCATGTAAGGAACTCAAGAGGCGGCGAAGGCACCCCAAGAAATGGTTGGGAGTCTCCCTGAACCTTCAGCTACCCGAGTCGCCGTTTGATGGCTCAAAGTTTGGAAAGCGGATTGTGGGTCCGCCTTGTTTTGTGGCCTTTGCCTGTTTCTCCCCCCCTGTTGGTCCTTTTTTCAGCAATCTCGTAGTATTATTTTGATATTCTACGGCGGATCCACAGAATCGCCACATCCAAGCCGCTTTCTAGACAAATGGTCTTGGGCTTCCATGCGGTCGAACAACTCCTAGGACTTCCAGTAGAGAGGTTGCAATAAGACTATAATAAGGGTACCAACTTTTTTCTGGAGTTTATTTTAGTAGGGGAACCCTCCCCCCAAAACAAAAAACTGTCAAAGTTGGCACCTAGCTGGGGGACCGAAGAACTCGTTGGCTCTCTGAGTGGACACCCCCCCCCCCACCGCTCACGGGACCCACCCAACGGAGTCTGACGCGCGTCTCGCGCGCGTGGCATCGAGCGCATGGAGCCCCGGCCTGCGCCTGCTGCAGCTGCAGCGCCGCCTCCAACTTCTGCGCCACCCAGCCCTCCACCCGCGCCTGGCGCAGCGCCCGATTTTCCGACGACACGAGGCCCGAAGCGCGCGGGGAAAACCCGGAGAACCTTCGAAGGCTGTTTTTTTGTTTTGGTTTTCTTGTTTTTTGTGTTTTTTTTTGGGGGGGGGGGGTGGTATTCTTTTTTAGCTAGGTTGGTTTTGAGGGAAACCCAAAGCAAACTCCATATATTCCCTCTTCTCCGTACCTCTTTCCTGTTGCCTCTTACCTCTTGCGTCTTGTCTCTCACTCTCACCTCTACGTCTCTTACTCTTACTCTTGCTGCTTTTCTTACTCTTACTACTCTTTCTGTGTTGATTCATGTTGCGGTTCGTATTATTCTTCTTCTTCTTCTTCTTCTTCTTCTTCTTCTTTATTCAAGGTATGTCCGCCATTGCCGTCCTGACCGAACATGCTTTCGCAAGCACCAAGCGAACGCAAGCAACGCGGGGGAAGGGGTAAAGCTCTCTTCTCCGTCTCCTTCGACTGCTTTCCCCTTTTCCTCTGCATTGGCACTAGCATCTCTTTTCTGTGCGTGCGAAGAACGCCGGGAGAGACAAGGACCACGCCTTAGAACCACCATCACTAGCCTGGGCTCGGTCACAGGAGCTGGAATTGATGTTCTCATGGCAAAGCAGCCTTGGTCTCTGCAATAAACATCACAAACACCAAACCTTGCTGCAAACACAGCAGACGCAGTTGCAGATTCATGTGCGCCTCTTGGGCCGGTTGCTGCTGTGGGCCAACAGCAAAGGCCGGTGCATAGGCCTCAACAAACAGAGGCACATCAGATGAGAAAGAAGAGTTTGGCCCAGAACAGAGATGTCCGCACACCTTTGCTGCGCCATCAGTGTTCCACAACCACGCAATCGTGATATTCAAGAAGAACTACTTCAGATGTAATTGGTAGGTCGCTGGAAATCTAGAGCTGCTGATCTTGCTTTAGGTCAGACACACTATGCAATCACTTCTTAGACAGCCTAGAAATCAAGCGTGCCAAGTCAGGCACATGTCGCGCAACAAAGGAGAGGAACCGACAGCCCCACTCCCTCCAGAGCTGAGGCTTCGTTGCAGTTTGCTTCGCCCCAGGCACTTCACTTCTCCTCAGGATCCATCAGACTCGCCAGCCTCGCCAGAGCTGTCAGGGTCCAAAAACTTCTGGAACTTGTCCCCGTCCATACCCTTCAACTGTGCAAAGCGTTTCTTCTGCTTAGTCTGCTGCCCGATGAACGCCTTCACATCGCTGGTGCCGAAGATGGGCTCGCAGGATAGCATGACAGCGGCAGCATCAACATCGGCACGAGCGGATACAGCAAGCCCTGCAGCAGCACGAAGGGCTCTGCTGTGCATTTTTAGCTATCTAGCTGCACGCTGCCAAGCCATTCAAGTCCTGATAGCTTTGGAGGTCCTGGAGAATCCAGGAGCGGTGGCTCCTGATGGCTCTGCACAATCAATGCTCTGCTTTTTGTTACGCCTCGACTTTCTCCCTACATGGCCTCTATCAAAACCATGCAACTGGATGACTGGGATGTCCAGTGTGTACGCGACCGCCCGCGTGCCGCGCGCCGCGCGCCTCCCCCAGCAGAGCCGCCATTTGCACTTCGAACTCGTGTGCAAAGTGCCCAGGATCCTTGGAAGGAGCTACGTTTACTGCAAAACCTGACATCAGTCTGATTGAAGCCCGCTCGAGCTTTGGTTGATTCGACATGAGTCGTGGTTCGTTCATGTAATTTCCAAGAAAGAACAAGGCCAGCACAGTAGGAATATGAAATGGTACACTAAGCTTGGGGATTAGGGAAGGATGGGAAGGCTCGTGTGGAACCTTGCGGGCACCCCCCCCCAAAAACAACTCCGCCCCTTGCAGGTCCCTGATACTGGGCTGAGACTAGCATCCTCGAAATGACCCAAGGTCAAAGAGGTTTCCCACCACCCAAGCGAGCACTTCAATCCTCTTACCTAAAGGAACCGCCACGAACACCGAAGTCTTAGATGGCTTCCGCCACCAATCATCACTACCCCCCCCCCCCCGCCCCGGCTTTAACCCTTTTGGAGTAGCTTTGGATTGGGCCTACTTGGATGTTCAACCGACTTAGCAAGAAATCAAGCCATAACCAGGGTTGCAAGTGGGTCAAAAAGCTTGAAATTAACCCTCTGACTCGGTTGTTCCAAGGCCAATCGCAAGAGGTCCATCAACCTTTGCGGGTTTGATGGAAAAGCCAAATTGCTTCCTTCCGTCGCGCCAAAGATCGAATTGCCATGTTGGCGCGCAAAGAAACCAGCTCGGAAAGGGAACCCCACCAATATCAGCTTGCAATGCAGTATATACCCTTATACAAGTGGTACATAACCTATACTTACTTGCCCAAAGGACCTGGACATATTTTCTTGGTGAACCTTTTGGGCCCATGACTCGAATTTCACCATAGCAAAGGTCAAGATCGATTCGCTTTGGACAAGTGAGCAGAAAAACCGCCACACCTTGGACCTGAGACTGCGTGCTTATCTGCGCAGTGTTGTGAAAGGAGCGTGATCTGCGACTGCACTTCCAGCCTTGCGGCTTTGATGTTCGTTGAGTTGGCGGGTTGGGGCTTGTGAGTTTCATTCCAAAAGCTTCTCGGTTGCGCGAATGCGCACGGGCTTGAGAGGTGTGTTGCTTTCTTTGGGAAAGCGTCAAGGATAAGCCAAGGATAAGCCCTGATGAAGGCCTTATTGAGGGGTCAATAAGGAAGTTACCCCCTCCCCCTCCTTCCCCAGTTCGCCCTTTGGGGGTCCATGTAGTGAGTATATAACCTCCATACCGCTCTATAATGATGATATATGATTCCTCAAATGGCTTCAACCATTTCTTAGGTGGTGCGAACGTTGTCCATCCACAGCATGTCTGTTGGCTCTGGGCGCCCAGGTACCTAGACCCAACATGCAAGTCTCGCTTTGTTGAAGTCCCCGAAAAGTGAGATCGCTGGTTAAAACTTGCTGGAGCGATGAGCCGTTATGTTTCAGGGGTCCATCACGCTGAAAAAATACGGGGTCAATAAGAGGGTTCCCTCCCCCCACCACTTGATCACTTGCTGGTGCGATCAGCCCTTAACATCAGGGGTCAATAAGGGAGTTAGACAAGGTCAACCCAAAACCCAAAAAAAGAACCGGCACCTAGCTGGGGGACCTTAAGCTGGACCCTAAAGATCATTTTGGGTAGTACCAATACTAAACTACACTGGTCCCAAATACTACACTGGTCCCAAATCTGCAAGGTAGACCCTACTTCAGATCGTTTAATAAAGGTAGCACCTGAATGTACCTGATACTGTGAGGGTCGGTAGTACCTGAATGTACCTGCTACGTTGAACAACAATCTAGGTATTCAAACCTGCGCTGGAGGCTCGCCTTGAACCGCCCCTGATAACTTTGAGGGTCCAGGTACATCTTGGGTCAACCAATTTATATGACCAGTAGCTCCAGTAGCTCCAGTAGCTCCAGTAGCTCTAGTAGCTCCAGTAGCCATAGCTCTAGTTTCCAGGCTCCAGCTCTTCCAACAAAATCACCCCAACATCTTGGGTCCATTTTGTATGGGTGGCAACCAATCTTGGGTCCAATTTTTACGGGTAGTTTCCGGCTCCAGCTCAGCTTCCAACCCCACTGGAGGCCTACCGCCAAGCCATCCGTGGCTCCGGGCCGCCACCTCGAAGTCCGCCACCACGGGGAAGCGCTCTGAGAGCAGAGGCCAGGCCTGGCGAGGGGCGTCAGGGGCGTCAGGGGCGTCAGAGCGCCCCCCCCCCCCCCGCAGACGCTTAGGGGAGGTCCCCCGGAAAAGGGCTCCTTTGGTAGCCCCAGAGGCTTCTCAAAGTGAAGCGACTACAAAAGACCCTTGCGTGACGCCAGGTAAGCATTAAGGATTACTTTTGAACAGGCCAGTTTAAAGGGAAAACACTGGAACACCACACCTGTTTGTTCTTTTACAGGGGAGGGGGCTTCCTTTTGTCCCAGAAATAGTTGCCTCTGGTGGGGTTTTACTTGAGGCAACAAACCACAACTACAGAGAAGTGCCGTGTCTGAGAATTCGACCACCCCAATACCGAAGTTTCCCGGACCCAGGGCTTTCATGGGAAGGAACAAGAACCAGCGACACGTCTGGTACTCGGCGACATCGGCGCCTTTCCGGAATCTCTGTGGCCAGCACGCGCCTGCGTCCGGCAAACAAGTCATCCAAAAGTTCCCTTCGCCGGTCGGACTCTTGACACCTACTGGGATAGGGTCGTACTTACGCTGGAGTTATAAGTGACTTAGCACTTAGCTTGGACTTATAAGTAACTTATCTTGAACTTAGAAAAGAGGTTTTTCTAAGTCCGCTAAGTTCATTCTAAGTTCATTGAGTTGGCAAACACATGCGTTTTGAAGCATGGCAGTGATGAAGCATTACGCGCTGGAAAGCACACATTTTCGTGTGACTCAACGCAACAGGGCAGGCGCGCGCGCATGCAGTTTACGCTGTTTGTTCGCGCTGCTTCGCACGCTTGGCTCGATGGAGCCGGAGCATGTTTTGCACTGACTGACTCGGTTGAACTTTGTTGTGCGATAATCGTTTCTATAGCGGTGTCTCCGCTGGCGGCCGGTCCGCCTTAATATAGTCGCATGGGGCGGTTTCTCCGCCGGCGGCCGGTCCGCCCGTTTTGCTTTTCTCGTTTGATGATATATCATTGTAGCGTGGTTCCGCTGGCGGCCGGTCCGCCAAGCTATTTTTGCCACGTTCATTTTCATTTCGAGATGGCACTTGAAGCGGTTGTCCGCTGGCGGCTGGTCCGCCCAGGAATATTTCGGCGTTGATTTTTATTTCGAGATGGCACTTGAAGCGGTGGTCTGATGGCACTTTGCGATTTTTTGCATGTTTGGATTGTGAGTGCGCGGATGAAAGGCTGCAAGACTCAATCAAGGCTCCAGAATCCAGCCTGCTGACTGCAAACTCCACACTCCAGACTGCAGACTCCAGACTGCAGACTCCAAACTGCAGACTGCAAACTCCAGACTCCAGACTGCAGACTCCAGACTGCAGACTGCAGACTCCAGGCTGCAAACTCCAGACTGCAGACTCCAGACTGCAGACTCCAGACTGCAGACTCCGGACTGCGAACTCCAGACTCCAGACTGCAGACTGCAGACTGCAGACTCCAGGCTCCAGAATGCAAACTCCAGACTCCAAACTGCAGACTCCAGACTGCAGACTCCAGACTGCAGACTCCACTGCAGACTGCAGACTCCAGACTGCAGACTCCAGGCTGCAGACTCCAGGCTGCAAACTCCAGACTCCAGACTGCAGACTCCAGACTGCAGACTGCCAGCTCCAGAATCAAGACTGCAGACTCCAGACTGCAGACTCCAGGCTCCAGAATGCAAACTCCACAGACAGACTGCAGACTCCAGACTGCAGACTCCAGACTCCAGACTGCAGACTCCAGACTGCAGACTCCAGACTGCAGACTCCAGACTGCAGACTCCAGACTGCAGACTCCTGACTCCAGACTCCTGACTCCAGAATTCACAGTCCAGACCCCAGAATCCAGCATCCAGACAGCCCCGCCCCAAAGCCCGGAAAGGCCGGTGCAGTTTTTTCGAACTTAACAAAACTTAACTTAACTTAACCTGGGCGGGTCGTGTGGAGCCGTGGAGTTCCTATTGTAACTCAATCAACTTAACTGCCAAACTTTCCCCGTGAGGCCCAGTTGCGTCACCACGACTTAACATAACTTAACTTGGCCCCGTGGCCAAATTCCACCACAAAATGATCAGGATCCTGGAGTCAGGAGTCATTGTGGAGTCTGGAGTCTGGAATCTGGAATCTCGAGTCTGCAGTCTGGATTCTGGAGTTGGCAGTCTGGAGTCTGCAGTCTGGAGTCTGGAGTCTGCAGTCTCTGGAGTGTGGGAGTCTGCAGTCTCAAGTCCGCAGTCTGCAGTCTGGGCTCTATAGTCTGGATTCTGGAGTTGTCTGCAGTCTGGAGTCTGGAGTTGGCAGTCTGGAATCTGGAGTCTGCAGTCTGGATTCTGGAGTTGGCAGTTTGGAGTCTGCAGTCTGCTGTCTGGAGTCTGGAGCTTGCAGTCTGGAGTCTGCAGTCTGGACTCTGCAGTCTTTTTTCTGGAGAGTTGGCAGTCTGCAGTCTGGAGTCTGCAGTCTGGAGTCTGGAGTTTGCAGTCTGGAGCCTGCGGTCTGGAGTCTGCAGTCTGCAGTGTGCAGTCTGGAGTTGGCAGTCTGGAATCTGGAGTCTGCAGTCTGGATTCTGGAGTTGGCAGTCTGGAGTCTGCCGTCTGGAGTCTGCAGTCTGGAGTCTGGAGCTTGCAGTCTGGAGTCTGCAGTCTGGAGTCTGGAGTCTGGACTCTGCAGTCTGGATTCTGGAGTTGGCAGTCTGCAGTCTGGAGTTTGCAGTCTGCAGTCTGGAGTCTGGAGTCTGCAGTCTGGAGTCTGGAGTGTGGGAGTCTGGAGTCTGTATCTGGAGCGTGACTGCAGTTCGAGCGGACCCGCCGCTGTGGATCTTCGCGGGCCAGCCGCGAGTGCAATGTGAGCGGGCCCGCCGTTATATGACCGGGCCCGCCGCGATATGAGTCTGCGCGGGCTAGCCGCGAGTGCAGAGCGTCTGCGCGGGCCAGCCGCGAGTGCAGTCTGAGCGGACCAGCCGCTGGGTGTCTGCGCGGGCCAGCCGCGAGTGCAGTCTCAGCGCACCAGTCTGCGCGGGCCAGCCGCGAGTGCAGTCTGAGCCGACCAGCCGCTGCGATATGCCGACCTGTCGTATCCGAAAAAATATACGCACGCATCGCCCGGTGTAAGGTTTGGACTCGCGTTCAGCGATGTGCTTTGCGACACGTCAGGAGTAAAGCGCGCGTGCTTTTTTCGCATGAGGACGCGCGTCAAGACTCAGCGAGGCAAACTCGTTTTGGGCATTGCTCCGCAAACGCTGGATGCCAAAAAGCTGTTTTTCCTAAAATGGTGCAAAAAAACTAAGTTCCAGCTAAGTTCATTCTAAGTCCCGGCACCCGGAACTTAGCTCGAACTTATAAGTGGGCCTATCTAAGTTAACCCTAGACAAGTAACTTATAACTAGGACTCGGACTTAGCAAACTTATAAGTCCACTTGTCCCACGTTATAAGTCCACTTGTAGTAACTTATAACTCAAGTTATAAGTACGACCCTATCCCAGTACAGAAGGCCACCTCAGTCTAGGTCCTCCAGATTTGAGAGGTTAGAATAAGGGCACCAACTTGTTGGAGTCTATTTTAGTAGGGAACCCTCAGTGAACCCTCCCCCAAAAAAGTTGGGGAGCTGGCAGTGGTGATGTTTGTGGCAGTGGTTGGTGTCCGAAGCCCTCCGCATTGGATCTATAGGTCAAGACCTCCATTGGAAGGTCTTGCCTAAGAGTTGCCGCTTGAGAACTTAAGATGCTGGGTGTCCCAAATCTGAGGGAACCTCCAAAATGGTCCCTCCCATTGGTGTCCCTTGAAGACTACCCAAAAAACCGAAGGACCTGGAAATGAGTCTAGGCTTCACCTTTTTGAACCTCAACCCCCAACCGCGCAAACGTGGGGCAAACCCAAGCAAAACCTGGCACGCAGCTCCCGCAGTGCGCGCGCCTCCGCCGCGAGATTCCGCAGGAAGTGCTGGAAGTTGGAGAGCTTCCGACGCCCCGTCTCAGCAAACTTTTTGTGCGCCGCAAGCCGTCTCGGGCGTCCCACGAAAAACGCGGAACAACGAGCAACCGCCCCCTCGCCCTCACGTTTCCGCCTTTTCAAGCACGTCCAGTCCCGTTCGTACCAGAACTATAAAGCAGGTGTTTTTGTTTGGGGGGTTGTTTGGTTTCAGGTGGCAAAGAACCACGGGCTGAAATCCCCGCCAATCCCAATCACAAGTTAACTGAGGAGTACCTGAGTTTGGGCATGTGACATACCGAGCCACAATCTTCGCATAGACGCCACCTTTCAAGCGCTGCCGACAACCAGCACCCCAGCAACAGGTCCTTGGGACGGGGGGCGCTGAAAGGGTTCCCTCAGCCACTGGAGCCTCGCCAAAACCCGGCGCTGAGCATCAATCAAGGCCTACCCAACGCTGACTCTTGGAACCTTGGCCAACGCCACTTGTCTCGGGTCCAAGTCTGTACTTTAAGTCCCCCGGAAAAATTAACAATATTTCCAGTAGTGATCCTTTCTCCTAACAAACATGCTTGAGCAAATGGAAGACTAAGTCCCTTGTTAGGAGGTTCCTCGGTACTCCGGAGCAGTCTTGATTGTTCTGAAGGACGGAGCAAACGTTCAGCCCACAATGACTTAAACCCAGGGGTGGGTCATGTACCCCAAAAAGGGAACCCCTGGGTTTAAGTCTATTTGCAAGTGGTCACAAATAAGCGCCCAGCGCCTCCTGCGGGGTCCTTACTGAAAAGGCACAGGCCGCGTCGGCGCTTGCATGCTTGCAGGTTACCAAGGACACGCAACACAGTGGCGCTACGCAAGCACGCACAACAAAAACGGACAGGGTCCCTTATGTCCTGAGTCTCTTGGCCATGGGTCAAAAGGCAAACCGTACCCCCAGTGGACATCCCAATCCCCGCTAAAATAGACTAAAATCGGTGGTGCACGTACCCCAAAATGGTGCCATTGGTTTTGACCCACAGCCTCTTGTCTTTTCCAACAAAACCCTATGAAGAGAGAAACCCGTGAAAACAAACAATCCTTCCACCAAACCGTGATGTTGCTAACCAAATGGGGAATCGGCAAACGCATTGTCGTCTAAACAGGAGAACCGGTTGGGACAAAACATCCACCTAGGCCGGTCAACGTCTATATTCCCAATCACTAGCCTGGTAAATGGTGTCAGAACCACACTGAAAGCAGCTCACATCTTCACCTAGAATTCGCCACAGGAAATTCTAGAGGAAACTAGCCAAACACGCGCACGCGCACACCAAACACAGGAGTCCCATGAATCTCCTCTACAACTTCCTGTGGACTTTCATACAACTTCATTTGGGACTTTCAAAAATCCACAGGTTTCAGTCTAAAGTGCCAAACAAATGGACCGAGGAGACCCCAGCTGCTTCAACCCAACCCACCTGAAACTGCCCGCCTCGCGGCCGCCCCAAAGATTCACCGCGCCCACGAGGGCGTCGAAGAAGCCGCCCAACTGGCCGTCGAGCGGTGCTGCTGGCAACCAGATCCCCCTACCATGAGGGGCCTAATTCCATTTATCTAGTCTTTCCCATAAAAGGGAAAATGGGACCAGGAATATTCTTAGGGGGGTAGGGATGCAACCGAGGACCAACGTCCCGTCCGTGTTCGCCATAAGGCGAACTCGCGACGTTCGGTGAGGGAAACCACAAAAATCCTCCCATTGGATTCCTAGGTCCTCCAGTAGAGAGGTTAGAATGAGGGCACCCGATTTTCTTTTTTCTGTAGTCTATTTTAGGAGGCCAACCAAGAAAGAAACGGTAAAAGGGGGGGACCTAGATTCAGCCCCTCAAAAACCAAGTCCAGTGAGAGATGTCCTGTAAAACCAATAGGGGAAAATAAGTCACTGCTGAAGAACATCAACCATGTTCGGGGTTGCGCATTTGGAGGGGCCTAAAGAAGCTCCGATGGATGCATGGGAAAACACCCAATGCGATCAAGGAAAAAGAAGATCAAACGTCAGACACCCTAAAAGAAATCACATCAGACAGGTACTACCAGCATTTTGGCTAATTTCCTGTACTTCGAAATCTGGCTGCTTCGAACCAGCATAACGGGCCTATGCTATTTGCCTGGAGACTTTGTGTCCCAGGAAGACCCTTGAACATGGATGATTGCCATGTAGTGTTCCTTCAAACAGCATATATAGCAGTGCCAAAACTAGTTGGACCCTTCTATGGTTTGTTTGTCTTTGTATGTGGGTCACGGTCATGCTTCCCTCGATAGAAAGCTTAACAACGGTGAGCCAAACTGTGTATCAAGGTGTCAATGACCAGCACAAAATCACCAATGTTCGGTTAGCCAAGCAAATCGCGGCAACCCACCAGCAGAAATCCTCAGGTGGTGTCCTTCAACAAAATACTCTGGAGCTATGGTTCAAACTGAGGCCACTCAAAAGGCCACGGTGAAAAACACAAACGCTTTCCTGGAAAGCTAAGCTCACCATATCTGGGCTGCCCTCAGATCCCCCGCCAAAGGTTTAACTAGCTTTTAGTGGGTTAAATGGAAACTACCACTACACACTAAAAGGCTAAAAAGCTAAGGAACCGGATGGCTGGCTTCGCCACCAAGATATGGATTCCTTCCTTGAGTTGTCTTGGCACCTCGTCTCGTGCGCAGGACCCAGAACTTCGACAGACCGTCAACTTCAGATTGGTGTGGAAGACTGTACCAATACGGAGTGGTCCCACTTTCAGTGGCGGGAAAAAAAGCATTTGACAGGGATTCCGTCGGAGCATTTGCCGTTGAAAAAAGGATGAAACTCGCGGGTCAATTCTGGCAGGGTTGACCCACAAGGTCCTCATTTGGGGCAGGTTCGGTGCCCTCTGAGTTTCCCCTGTAACGGGGGTCACGCGAGGGCGTCTCAAATTGCCGGACCCCCTTTTAGTTGGTATCAAAACAATTAAACAACAAAAACAAAAAACGAAACCAAGGCAACATTTGAGGACTACCGATATTTGTTTGAGAAGCCCCAAAAATTGTCTCCAACAACAAGCCAGGCGTTTCTTTGGAACACCCCGCGGTAACTTGACCCTTTTGGCCTGAGCAGAGATCTGCGGGCGCTGCACGCGGGTGATGGCGACCTGATCCGACAAGAAAGGCTCGATACGGGCCAAGCGCATGGGGTCTTTCCTGGGTTGCTCCGTTGCTGCAAGCAGATGGTTTCACGAGTTTTGTGGGTTTCGTGGGTTTCAAGGTTTCCACTACAGTCAGTTTATTCATAGGGGGTGTCCACCGGCCACAAACCACCCCCCTATTAACAAACTGGTTGGTTGATCAATATGGGGTCAACATTACATGGGTTTCCTGGGTTGCTCCAAGCCTCGCAAAAACTGTAACTTTTCCTGGGCGCGCCAAAAGCAGCAAGAGCACCTTCAAAGACCGGAAACCTCCTCGGAGAAAAGGACACCAGTTTACAAATGCCTCACGGAAAGCCCTTGATAAAGCGATGTTTCCAACAATATGCGTTAACACCTACCCGAAAGGCCCTTCCTTTCTCGGCCTTGAAAAGGCACTGGTTCAGCAAAGGAAGTCTTAGATGTTAACAGGTTTTAAAAGCTATTTCGGTTGGAACACTGAGTGGAAAGTTTGAGAAAGTTCATCGAATAGGTGGGCGGGTTCATCGAGGCTGAAGCTCCCAGAACCAGTGGAGGACAGTAAAACGTAAGTTCGTGGCGAACCCTTGTGCAAGCCCACTAAAATAGGCGGATAAACAGCTACATCGGAGATTCTGTAGGAGATCTATATTATAGTTGTCCCATCTATAAGTAATGTTGGACAACATCGTGGAAATCGCCGGAAGTTCAACGAATGCGTCGGGGAAGGTCACATAAGTGATGCGAAGAGCCGAAGTAGAAGAGTTCAGATCATAGGTTTGGACAAGTCATAGGATTGAGAGTTCAACGAGGAGTCCACAAGGTGCATGAACCAGGAACTCTTCGGTCGGAAATCGGAAAGTCCGTAGAAGACTCCATAGAAGCTACGACGCCAAGAGAAAATTGAAGAATTCCTAGGCAGAGACCACGTTTGAAGAAACAGAGGCAACAAGTCAAGAAATGATAGACATGTTTGTGAGTCAAAAAGCGGTACGCAACATGGCTTGCCCTGCTGAATGGAAAGACGGGTGGTCCACATCCTAGTTGTGACTAATTTTGACCGATACCCCCGCTTCCTAAGCGGATTGACCAAACAAGTCCAAACTTTTTGTTTACCGCTTAAATGGTCTTTCCAACAAGTGGGTTAAAGTCCAAAAGAAAAGGGACGTGAGACACCCATAGGTGAACGAAGCTCGCCTGGCCATGGGTCAAAATCCCTTACCCTTAGTGAACATCCCAATCCCCACTAAAATCCAGACTAACATGGATGTTGCACCTACCCAAAAATGGCATTGGTTTTGACAACCACAGCCACCTAAATTCGCAGCAAGGTGTCAAGTTGTGATGGCAATGCACCAGACATCCCCTGCCTTCCGATCCTCGAACAAGCTGGCGAAGATCTTGTGGAGGTAGGCATTCACATCCAGCACGTACCTCCGCTGACAAACGTGGGGGTTTCCTCTGTCCCCAAACCTCGGTTGCTATCTGCTCCCCTGCAAAAAGTGACTATTTTTTAGTGGTTTAATGAATAACCCATTTGCTGGCGAAAGGTTAAACTCCTAGCATCCAAGCAAAATGCAACCAAGAAAATCGGGGCCAACAGGGCAAGTTCAGGACACCCCGAAGACGTCGGCTCAGGGTAAAGCACTTGAGATGAACAACAAAGGTGTATGGCATTCTAGCTGCGCATTTTTTATTTTTTTTTCAGGTGCCTCCAAATGGACGGTCCGGGGAAAGCGCCGCCGATTTGAGAAGCGGTACACTCAGGTCTCTGCAAATGGAAGCAAGTCTTCAAGTTCGGGCTGGGCGCTTCCATGGAATCGCCAAAGAAAGGGTAGAGCGCTGCCCACTGAAGCCTTCAACTTCTTCGGAGCTATTCCGGCAGTGCACCAGGCTAACTAGCTCACAGAACTCCCCGAAAGCCCTAGCGGCAGGTGACCAAACATGGACCAAAGAACACAAAGGTCAGGTGATGTCAGGTGGTTGAGTCGCTTTGAAGGTGGTAGAACTAAAAGATCAAAAGCTAATGAGTCACAACTGGGCTTGGGCAATGCGGTCTTCTTTCGACATGACCTGCTTGCGGTAAAATAAAAAATAAAAAACGGAGGGGTCCCTAATGAGGGAGAGAGCAACCCTGAGAATTGCAGCGGTTCAGCGCATGCATCTCTCACCACCCATGCGCGGCACTCCATGACTTCTTCCCAGTTCCTCTCGATGAAGGCCTGATCTTCCAACGTTCGTTTCAGAACACTGGACGCCTCCAAGGAATTTGGCTCCAAGACTTCAAGTAGGTTCGCCTGTTCAAAAGCTTCAGAGCACCAACGATGCAAGTCCGCCAACGGAACCAAGACAGGTATCGCCGATTGCGGCTCCAGAGAGAGGGGCTGAAATTTGAGCTTTGCCGCGCCCCTGGACTGAGCTCCGCATTTGCTGACGTGTTGATTCTGATACGTGAAACACAGAAGAAGGCAATTGCGGAGCCTTCATGGTTAAGCTTGGCTTCCAGGTAATCCCCAGGGGGATTCAAGCCTATTTCTGCACACCCAGGTGAACCCATCAGTCACATTGCGAAAATCGGCGTAGCTGGTTGGAACTCAACTTGAAAACAGTGGGTCCCCTAGTCTTCACAGCGAACATGAGAATTGGAATGCCACAGGTTGGAATTCTCCAGCCAGCTCCATTTGGAGGCCCGGTGACTAAAATAGACGGGTAAACCAAACCCATCCCCCAGTTGGGTTCCTTTGAGAAAGCCAACATGGATATCAACCATTGGGTTTTCTGTCCACCAACGAAACAATTTCCTCTTTGAACATAGCCGGATGGACTATTCGGGTGTCGTTTTCCGGGTTGGACCCCCCAAAATGGCTTCGGCGGTCCGTTTGGTTTCCCTGCCAAACCACCAAAAACGAGTACCAACTCCAAAAATCGACAAGCCACCCATTTCGACGCCCTGTAATTTCCTCCAAACAACAAAGAAGAGGTACCAACTCAAAAACAAAGATATTTCCCTGTAAAACCCACCAACGAACCAAAATAAAACTCCAAACCCTGTACAACCCACCAAACCAAGATCCAGCAAAACGCCCTGGGCCAACGGCAAGCCATTTCCACAGGTGGCGGATGTACCAACCCAGCGAAGCCGGCGGCCTGCTGGTACGCCCGCTCCGTCGCCCCTGACGCATCCGGCATGTCTGCCAAGCACTGGCTGCGGATGTGGGCTGCGACCTCGGGGGCATGTTCGGCCGGAAAATCCCTCAGATGCCCTGTGGCCATGGGAAAAAAGGGGCAGCCTCTTTTGGTCGGTTGATTTAAACAAAAAACGTTCCCAAACAAAATTGAAAAAGGGCGCTCCCTCTCTCTCTCTCTCTCCCTCCCTCTCTCGCTCAGTTGAATCCGTTGATGCAAAATCTTTATCGTCCCCCCGCAACCTTGAGAATGAAATGCAGGAAACCAATATATATATATATATATGAAGAACGCCAATATATATATATATATATATATGAAGGACGCCGCTACGTCGCTGAGACCGAGTATCAAAATCGCTGCCAGCACCCAGGTCCCAACGACTGCTTTTTGGTTACCGTACCAACTGGATTTTGGACGTGGGACAAAACGCACAAAAGTTGGCACCTGGGTGCTGGTTCAAATTCCAAATCGACATGCCCTAGCATTCAATCCATGTTGGCTTGGAAACAAAAGCTATCATCATCTCAAGTTCTCCAAACAAACCATCCGGAACTTTGTCTATGAAGTCGGGTGTCAACTTGGTAGAACTCACTTCCCAAAAGCGACGCCTCTTTGGGGTCAAACAAACAAATGGGATCGTATCGAGGATGTCGACTATTTGGGATTGCAACTTCACCCTTAGCAAGGGCAGTCTGTTGGTCTGTTGAGAGTGTCGGGCGTTCCCCAGCCGAGGCTAAGGGGATCCATTCCTGGCTCCGAGTCAAGCGGGCTGGGAAAAACAAAACACTTCTCCGCTTGGTTTCCTTGAGGGGCAATGGCAATTGGGTGTGCCCCCTAATAATATAAATCGCATACCCACCCCCCATCAACTAATATTGGCTCGGGGGCTAACGATATGTATCAATACGGTAATTGGGGGTCGACCGAGTTTTCAAGTAACGAAGTTACATAAAACCATTGGAGGTTCTGCTTTTTGTTTTTGCGGATCAAAAGTACAAGGTGCAATTAAAACTTTGGACCTACTGTGAATGTGCATTTCGAGTCGCATGGGGTTCCTGCAAGGAGCTTGGGTCCTGGACTACCTCCCCCCTAATCAGGCTGGGGCTGGCCTGGGCAAGAAATCCGCCAGTTTGGTCATGGTTTAGACCTATTCTAAAAGTAATATTGAGGACCCGGCGGTCTGGGAAAGCAGCTTTGTATTTGTAGGCCGAGTTTATTCATAGGGGGAAGCGATCAACGGGAAACCAAAAGACAACCACCATTTTGGGGGGTCAAACCTAAAAACTGGCACACCAAAAAAAAGGGGGCTACTGACATCCATGGACTGCAAACCGGGCCGTCCGGCCGCCAGAAGCGTTTCATCCAGCCACTCCCGCGCCAGGGAGTCAAAGAAGAGCTCGGCCTTGCAGATGAGAGTGTCTCTTTCTAGGGGAAACAGGGCACTGCGCAACTGGGATACGTTGCCCAATACTCTCAACCCCCTTTAGGAATCAGCCAAGGGGACACCCAAACCAAAATTAAGAGGTTTAAGAATCCTACTATTCTAGGGGTTCCTCGCCAAAAAGGGCAACCATGTCTGACTACTCGGCAAGAATCCGAAGTCGACATGAGTTCGGAGCGTTGGGGTCGGGTTCCAGAAAGGCTCCGGATTCCGTGGCTGGAGGTAGATGGGCGAAGATTTTGGGGCTCGGCACCTTTTGTCTCTTGGCTTAAAGGGAAATCCAAAGGGAAACCACGTCCGTTTACCCAAGTATCAGACAGGACCCTCCATTGGAGCGGGGAAAAATAGGAACACCTCCATTAGAGGGTGTTGGTTCCCCAGATTGAAAAGAGAAGACTGGATGGAATGCCATTGATTACGCAACTGATACAGTTGATATGGGCATGGCTCCAAATTGAAGCACCAGGGGTCCGCAGGTTTTGGTCCTTCTTTCCATTTACCAGGGTTCTGCTTTGGGCACTTATTGCACCCATACAGGGATCCTTAAATGCAAAACACCTGAACATTGGAACTTGTAAATGGTGGTGCCCCTTTATGTTGGTTGAAAAAAATATGTGTCAAATGGGCAAAATGTATCTTTTAATGGCAAGATGTATCTTTTTGGTGTTGAAAAAACAACATGTTTCAAATGGGATGTATCCTTTCAGGAGCCCTGCCATCTCGATTTTCCATTTGCCAACCGCACGGAAGGACACCCGTCCCCTCCGTCCTGCTGCAAAATGCCGAGGCATGAGTACCCTTCCGCCAAGAAACATGGGGTGACCGGGGTTTTCTTTGAAAGGAAAACTGGGTATGGCTCAAAACTAAACGATTGGAGGGGCTGGCTCCGCAGGTTTTGGTCCATGAATTTCCACTTACCAGGGCACCGGTGTTTTTGAGCCACAGCCAATTGTCTTCCAGGACACCCCTGTCAGGTTCCTCAGGTTGAGGGTATATCTTCAAATATCAAATACAACATTTGCCAGGTGTTTGTAAAATCCGGAGGGTGTGAGAAATGCGAAGAGGGTTTTGCGCTTTTTGTCGGCTGCTCAAAACATGGTGCCCCAAATGGCGCCTTGGTGTACATGAGACAAAGACTAAAGCCCAAGCAACCTCAGCTCTCTTTCGTTTTCTTGCTGGTGCGATAGGTAAATGCGGGACTGCACCTGGGGATTCCACTTAAAGGGATGGTTTATAGGGGTCATTCCATTTCTCATTTGCCAATTGCACCAGCAGTTTTGAGCCACACCAATTCATGATTAGAGCTATGGCCAGTTATAAAATGTATATTTTATTAATTGCTTCACTTTGAGTAACTGGTAAAATGTAAAATGTATCCTAAGTCTACCCCGGAATTCATCTGATTCCAAAAGGTCCGCATCCCGATGCGTCATGGCATAACTCAGGCCAGCGCCAGCATGCGGGCGCGCCCAGAATCGCTGGTGCGGCGCTGCACCTGCAATGACAAATGTCCCATGTAGTCTCAAGAACCAGGGCTTCAAATCCCAAACCACCAATCCAATCCGCAAGGGACCTGATATGAGGGTCCAACCATTTCAAGGACCACTTCCGGAAATCTCCAGACCTTTTTGTCAAAAGGGACCCATTCCTTCGGGCGCCTTCCTTTTGCTTGCCGTCCAAAGGCCCATAGAGAGACACGCCTTTTGGCAGTCCAAATTCCCCTTGACCAATCTTGGGTCCCAAAGTCCCATGGCTCCAAGGCACTTCAGGTACAAATGGACCACCCTTGGTGGAGGGTTGGTGTCTTTTATGGTTTCCCTTAACCAGTCTTGGTAGGTGACCTCAGGTACCAAGGGACCCGCGACGAACATGGACAAAGCAAGAAAACAAACTACCTAGATAGCCAAGTTGCTGTTTTTTTCAGTCACTGTTGCTGGTTTTTGGGGCAAAGTGCATGGAAAACACAAAAACAGCAACTGGCGATCCAGGTATGAACAACACGGCACTATGAAAAACAAACCATGAAAAACAAACCATGAACATGGACAAAACAAAAAAATACAAACAATATGAAACACACGGCAACCACAGTGAAGCATGCATTCTGAGCCCGGCACCATCTCAATGAACTCGGCTTCCGTATGTTCACCTCAACTGTGTTCGGGCCTATGATAGCCCGTGACAATTTGAGGTGTTCACCATGCAAAGAAACTGACCTCCATCTTGGCTCCATCTTCCGGAGTCTTGAGATAGTACGTGGCATTCTGTAATTTCTGAAGAGCCTGGAAGTTGCTCTTGCGGAGAACATGCAAAATGCAATGGGTTTTGCCAAATGCACCACTGAAACGTGGGCATGAGAAAAATGTTTATGAATTTCATCTCCTCAGTAGATTCCTTTGCTGCCCGACGTCCTTGCTTCAAAAGCCCCCATCCGCAAACAAAAAGGCTAACGAAACATTCTCTGCAACGGCTCCAGCCTGCTGAATAGATTCCCCCGTACCCTGCGCCATATTCTCTGGGATTCCTTCCCTTGTCCCCGCAGAAGGCGAGCCTTTGGACCAACAATTCAACGGCCTAGTCCAAAGGACCAAAACAACGCGTTTCCCGAGAAAAACCGCTGGACATCTCCGTGCGCCATTTAGGGAACAGGGAATCCCCAAAGAAAAGGAGCTTCACGCGCTTCCTGAGTGGACTGGCCCCCCCAAAAAAAAAACCACCTTTTGGCTTGCCGCGAAAATGATCTTCCCAGAAAGTAGAGAAGTCCATCAACCCAGCGAGAGATGTCGCTCCCCGAATCAGTCGTTGCACTTCAGATACTCGTTGGGTACCACTCATTGCCCATTGTGCATTGCGCCCTTGTCTTAAACCATGAGGTAAACAGTGATGGTCAGGGCTGTGGGAAACGACCACTTAACAAAAAGGGCCTCCCAACGACGAACCTCCCCCATAAAAAGGGGAAGAGTCCCTTGTAATTATCACAGAAGTGGTTGGATAAACCTGAGTGATCCCACAACCCTTTTGAAACTTTTGATTCAAGCCAACTTCTTTTTGCGCTTGTGCATCCCTTTCCAAAATCCGGGCGCAACCAAAAAGGAGTTGGGACCCAAATGCTCCACTTGGTTCGCTTTTTGGGTGAATCCGGGTTGGTTCTAACATGGGTGGGGGGCAAAAAACGCAAATACCGCGAATTCGCTTGGCAAATCGAAGCCGGTCCCTTGCAGTTTCTTCCATTTGCTTAAGCCCCCTGGACAACAAAAAAAAAATCCAGTAGTGATAGGTTCCCTTTAAAACCAGCAAGGAGAAAAAACGTGTTCTTAAGCAAAGGGATGGTTTGGACCCACAGAACCCGATGCGCCGATCCATTCGAACCAACACGGACTGCTCGGCCAGGCACGGTGCGATTGGAGCACCTTCCATTGATGATCTGCTCGCTCGGCCTCGCGATCTCGCGATCTCGCGATCTCGCGGGTCTCCGGGGACCCAACGGGCGCAGTCTGGGTCTGAAATATGTGACCTAGCAGATCTAGATGCGTGGACAAGCTTGAGAGAAAACAGAAAAACAATTTGCTCGGCTAGATATGTTGGCTTGCAATGAAGGAGGGCGTATCCACACTGCAGAAAACAAGGAATGATAATATAGATGATAATATATCTTATGATGTGCTTACCAAAATTGTCAAAGTCAATCTAGGTTCTATCAAACAAGAAGCGCTGATAACTCTAATTATGCCAGGGTCTTAGTGTACACAAGGTCATTCGTTAGGTGTTGTTTTATTTGATTTAGCAGCATGTATACTTTGTTTTGATCAATGGAACAATACATCATCTTATAAAACTATGGATCCGCTCTGCAGAAGTATGTTCATATTTGTTTATACCCAGTAAGCAAGCTAACAAGCTTTATAAAGAAATATAGAGTACAACATACAATTTAGATGTTGGAAAGGATCCCAATCAAGGTAAACATCCTAATTCGATGGGTATTGGTGCCCGCCCACTTGTCAAAAAACACTATCTCATGTCGTCACAACGGGATCACCCGGTATAGACATCCAGATAATGGATACGTGCCTAGTTGATCAGAAGGTCATGCTTTTCAAGTGGTTTCACTGTTTCGGGGGAAACGCCTATTCCTCCAGATGGAAAAGCAGCAGGCTCGTCGTTGTAATCGCTGTAGCCCATGGCCGGAAACGGACATGTCATTTTCTCCAGGTCTGAGCTCGTGAAGATCGATCCTGGGAAGACTGGGAGCTTAGCTTTGCCAAGCCGAAAATCCTGAGCTGTCTGAGCTCTGCCACACAAAGACATGGCTTTAAGGTGCGTGAAATGCGAATTCGAATCGGATTGATTTTCTGGATTCAAACAGCTGATCACAACGTCTTTCCCAGGCAGCTGCACACAGTCCAATGAGACAGCGACAGGCTTGGTGCGGGTGTGTACCACATGCCTAGTCACTCGGAACTGCGTGAACTGCGTGAACTGCGTGGGACAACAAAAATCTCGAGGATGAGTTCGGCCGATGCTCGAAGGGTAACTAGCCAAGGGAACCCCAACCACATGAGAAGCCTGAACCAGGAACAGCTGAAATATACGTATATACACGGGTGTACATGTTTATAGAGACATATATAGATATATATACATTAAATATATATATATATATACATCACTATATGTATGTATTTGTATGTATATTTGGCAGCATTATAAACCTATATATATGTACATATGGATACATCCACGCGCAGCTTACTTATATAAACATATTCATATGTACGTACGGTTTTGTCGAGCTCCACAACCCCGAACGCGCGCCGGCCGCCGGCCGGGCGTCCAGGCGTCGCGATCCAGGATTTTTTGTTTAGCATCTGAAGGAGCTGAAGCCGCACAGGCGGTACATTTTGGACATCAGTAGGTCCTCCAGAGAGGTTAGACTAATACCGACTTTTTCTCTGCCCAAAGGACCTGGAAGCAAAAGGTGATCACCTTTTGGGGCCATGACAAAAAATGGGAACCCACAATGGGAAAACCAAAAGGTCAAAAGGTCGGCTTTGGGCAACTAAGTCTTTCTGTAGTCTATTTTTGTAGGGGAACCCTCCCCCAAACAAGGGTGAAAGGGCACTACTGGGGGACCTAGACTATTCCCCGCCACACGCACTTTTTCTCGTGTGTGCTTATTCTTCTCTTGTCTGCTGTCAGAGAGCTAGCTTGCAATTAGTTTCTGCAGGTTCCTTCTAAACTTACTTTGCAGGCCACCCAACTAAGACGAGGCCAAACGAAAGCAAGCCCTATCTCTGCGGCGGGCAGAGTGTTCCCAAACGACCAAATCAACCCTGGCCAGCCCTGAGCCGAACGTTGAACCAAGTCCAAACCATCCGAAGATAACCCAAAGCCAACCCAGAACTAACTCCAACCAGTCCCACCAATCCAGAGTGGGGGAGGTTGGATTTATACATAATACACCCCAATCCATGCCCGCTACTTGCTCAAATAGGCATGATGGGTATGACGTACTACCCGCAATGTGATCGAGCCCTCACACCATTTTCTGCCTTCCCGGTTTTCTTTATGAAGCCCTCTCGAGAACATGGTCCAGATCTCTCCATTCTCCCCGCTCGGTTTGCTTTTGCTTCTGCGTTTGGAGAAGCTCGGTACGCTGCAGACCCCAGACCCTTCCATGCCTTTCAAGGGCTTGAGCTGCCAAAAGGAACCCCGTCTTGGCTTTCCCCTTTTGAGACATCTCCTTAGATGCAGTCGCCGTTTTTGGGCATAACACCATCCGGCTGTCTGGGGTCCGCTGCGCTGATATACATCGGTCAGAAATCTACGTGGTCCGTTAAAGTGAAAGTTCAAGGGGGGGTTGAACATGATTGGAGGCTCACTTAAGGATGTCGCTTTAACGGACCCAGATCTAGATAATCAAAAATGCTTGGCAGCTACTTCCGCGCGGGTGCCTGAGCACTACACGGAAGCAGGGCTCATAAATCTGGGGGTCCTAGAAGCAATCCGCAAAGGAAACTGACGGAAACTAGACGCTGGGTACTGTCAAAATGCTCAAGGATGTTCAAGGACACCCAATGTCAGAAATCAACTTGCGAATTGGCATTAAACATACCAAAAAAATGGGACGATCATGCACACAGGTCTTGAACCCGAATGTCGTCAAGCTCGTGCCCAGCCAAGGTACCGCTCGGTAGTACCACATGCGCTCCGAAGCAAGAGCACTGCTCCCGCAAAGCCTGGGATTGGAAATCGAAATCCAAAACGCTGACCCCAAATGGGCTGCTTGTGGGGATCCCCGACGAAAACGCAGACCAAAAGATTGTCCGAATTGGGAGACCTTCCGACATTGCAGGGAAATGGCTTCGAAACAAGAGGCTCAATGGACCTTGAGTGGGAAAAGAACAACGCAGATCGAAGGTTGAGCGGGTTGTTGCGGTGAAACCTTTCAGAACAGTCTGGAGTTGGCACCAAGCTTGGTGGTTTAAAGCAAAACGAGGAACACCGAAGCCCATGTTGAGAAGGACGAACAACCCAGGAGCACTGACCTTTTGGACAAATAGATGGGTGTCCGTATGGAGGAAGAAAGCCGATCTAAACCAGTGGATCCAAGCAAACTAGTTAAGCGAAAAGGACAGCGACTGGACGACATGCGTTCGCACTTGGAAACCAAGGTTGAAACCTAATTGTTGTTTCTTTCGGTATCTATCTCGAATCGAATCATTGCAGAACCCATTGATTGTATCTAGCCGAAACGACTCAAAAGTCGACACATCCATCTTCCACTTGCTTTAGTCACCTGGCCAAGATGAGGACAACAAATCCGGTAGCGAAATCGTTTCCCTTTGAAACCAACTACGGAAATCCAAACACATATATTCATTCCTGCAAACGGAAGCCAGCGTCCCAGGCACCGACCAGGTGTCGTTTTCGTGGAGCACGAAGCTTTGGGTCTCCCCCGCGAGAGACACGAGGCTGAGGTGCAACCACTCCCCGTCGCGCGAGATGTCTTCGAGCTGCACGACGCGAACCCCACGCGTCTCCATCTGCAAACTCACCTGAGTTTCTTTTTTTTGGGGGGGGAGGGTACCCCTGCTTTGTGTCACTGAGTCAGTTGATGTTTTTTTTGAGGATACCCCTGCTGTGTGCATCTTTTAAGGGAAACTGAGTGGAAAACCACCATTTTGAAGGTGCCTTAAAAAAGCACATAAAAGCAAAACCCTACACGCATTCCGAAACTGGTCTGAAAGCTTACGTGAGAAAGAAGTCGCATGCTTCCATCTGTGACCTTCCAAGCCCGTTTCATGACCGAAGGCACTTTGCTTGCCCGGGTGGGACTTTTCAAATCCAGGACCCTATAAAGAACCCAAAATGACCAAGGGGCCAAAACAAAATAACCCATTTCACCCCCAACGAATTGGACCCTTAGCGTTTCACCCCCAACTGATCCATTGTTCTAACTCCAATTCCCAAAAATCAGTCCCCCTGGGCCTCGACCAACCGATTTCGCTCGCACTGTACAACGTATTCATTTGGCCATGATTCAAAACCCCGTACCCCCAGTGAACATCCCAATCCCCACTAAAATCCCGACTAAGATGGGTGGTGAATTCACCTACCAACCAAAATGGGATCCCAAAACGGTTTTGACAACCACGGCCTTTTCAGCAAGTGGACAAGTTTTTTTGGGCTCGCTTCTTTTTTGGTCCGTCTGAATCTTCCCGCAGGCCAAACGGCCAGGATCAGCTCGTTGGAGAGATCTGCAGGGCCTTTGGGCGAAGAGTTCTTGAGGTAGAAGCGCTGGTCCAAGAGCACCTCGGCTTTTTGCTTGAGAAACGAGCCGAACTGGGCAAAAACACAAAAGCAACCTTCTGTTGAAACGAGAGAACCTTCTGTTGGGTGTCTTTTTCTATTATTATTTTTCCTACAGGTTCATTCCTTTTCTATTGTTTTCAACCATCGTTCTTTTCAAAAACCGGCTGTTTCCCTGGGTTTTTGATGGTTTCCTGAAAAGAAGGATCCCTAGAAAGAATGGGGAAGGTACCCCTAGAATATTCAAAACCACCGAGGAGGTGCGACAGGACAAGAACCAAATGGTGTAACCAGTTTCAGAGACACCACAAGAAGACTTTACAAAAATGTAACCCGTGTCCGAGCCCGCAGTAGCCACACCACAATTGAACCCTGTGCATATCTTCCATTTGCGAATGCGTCCCCTGGAAAAAATGATGAATATGTCCAGTGAACTCGATTCCTTCTAAAACCAACAAGGGAACATAAACAATATGTGCAAGACAAATGGAAGATGGTGTAACCTGTTTCAGAGCTAGCAAACCAAAATTATCAATCTAAACCACCAACTGCAACACCACAATTGAACCCTTTTAAAAAAATGGTGTCCCATGCTCGGAAAAAAACGAAGCGAATCACACATCCT